GTATCGTAACTTATCAATATGTATAATGTCCTTTCTAAAACAAGTATTACATAAATCAGTTTGCAATTTCATGGTATGACATAAATGAAATGGAATTAATACCTGCATGCAGTGTTTAGGACATAATTGAATTTCTCAAGCATCACAAGCTTAAAGGATATTTGTAATGAAATAGAACTATAAATGCATGGGTAATGAAAATTTAATGTATGCAGTGCTTGCAGTTGTAAAAACCACCTTAACTCACATTTTTGTGGAGGATTAGAGCAGCCAGAGCTAAAATCTGTTATTTGTTTGTCCAAATGTAAAAAAACCTATCTTAATTCAAATGACACCCCAATTTCAGTCATTTTCTGAACTTTTTATCATGGAGTTGACTCAGCACAGGACAAACCTCTCTTAATAAAAGTCAAATTCTATTTGACTCTATTTTCCAGAGCACAGCAATGTTTCACTTCTCTCAAACCCTGAAGCAAATGGAAGTGAAGAGATTTTGCAAGAGCTTCTCCAGGAGCTGAAAACTCCTCAGCATCACAAGGAGCAAAGCCAGAGTGACACAGGATTTGTTCAAAGGGAAAACCCATTAAAACATCTGGAATGTTGACTACAAAGCTGCTTTTCTAGAGATTTAGAAGAGACACTCCAAGCCTAATTCCTGTATTTCCTTGGGTTCTTTAGCCCACTGTTCCTGCTCCTGAGTTCAGCTTTGCTGTTCAGCTCCAGTTCCACCTGCCTGACACAACCTGGAACTGCAGCAGAAGCCAAGGGGAGGAACATTTAGAGGAAAAGTAGCCTCAGTACGTTTTTATTTCCTGGCTGTTTTGTGACATCAATTTCCTATAACAAGGCACCAAAAGTGCATTTTTCTCTTCAAAAAGCCTTTAGGCAGCAAAATGAGACAAGTCTTTTTCTGTCTGCAGCTTCCACTGATTTCACCCTCTCTCCCAGATTTCGATTTTTAATTTTTTCTTTTATGTGCTCATATTTGGCTTTGATTTTTTTTTTTCCTACTTTAGCACAATGGTAGCTCTCATTTTTAAGCAGTTAAGATGGCAAAAGTAAGTCCTAAATTTCTGTATCTTCAGTTTATTTATTTTATCCCATCTCACAAAGCTTTGCCCACAAATTGCAATTCTGCATCCATGGATTTTGGAATATGTATTGAGAGAGGCAATATTCACATAACCTCATTATGTTCCTGCTGTAACACAGCTCTGGGAAGTTACAACAGATTGATTTGGGATTTTTTTCCCTGTAATTCCATGTTACTGTTGCTATTATTTAAATGCTTGCAATCCTATCTCGTTTTTACCACATGGTGAATATACAGGAGAGGAAAAAGCACCAAAACCTCTTCCTTTTCAGGAAAACTGAGTGGGAAATAAAGTCAAGTACAAAATAAAAGCACTTATAAAAATCTGCAATGTCACCACTGGCCAGAGATGAGGAAAATCTCAGACTGAGCCTTTATACAATACTCAGTTGTGTGCACAAAACTGCAATTCTGCATTCTGGAAATAAATTTACAAGTTTTAAGGACATTCCTGTGTTTAACATAAGAGCACAAAGTGAGTGCAAATCCAGAGTCACTTTGGAATTTAAGTCAAACCCAACCTGAAGTGTTTGATTTATTGGGATGTTCTGAAGAAATTTTTCAATTATCACTCATTTTCTCCTCCCATTTTTCCATGTTTTTCTGCAGAATTGCCTACAGGAACAACCCTTTCTTCACCCCCAAATGCTGGCAGTACAGATATTTTATAATCCCATTTATAGCCTCAGCTCCCATCAGGAGCACGGACCTCAACAATTGGGAATTTCTGGTTTATCTCAAAGGAGAAGAAAAGCTCTCCCTCGTTTCCTCCCCACTCCCCTGGAAGTGACTCCCACATTGTTTCCACACAGGAGCAGGTAAAAAACCTGACAGAATTTCCTTCCTGGCAACCTCATCTTGCCACAGGACAAAACTGAGCTCCAAAATACAAAAGGCACCAAATAAAACCAGTTACAAAACACACCAAATAAAATCCCTGTAGTTGTTTAGACCTAAGATGACAGGAGAATATTCTCATTAAGTTTATCAAATATATTCAGGTGAAAATCACAGTAATTAGGACAAAATTGACTTAAAACAATTCTAATTTGTTTGTAAGATTCTGAAATAAATTAAAATCCATTTACAAGTTTGCTGCCATGAATGCAGAATGAATTCTACAATATTGTTGTGCAGAATATTGATGGGGGGGTTACCTGGGCAGCTCCACTTGGCTTTTTCACCCTTTTTGGTGACTCTGCTTCTCACCTTGCCCATCCCAAAGGTGGCCAAAGATCCCAAATATTCCCCCTGCACTTCCAACCCTGCCATTGTCCCATTTCTCTCCTCCTTCCTTAGAGGAAAGCACAGAAGGCTGAGATGTTTGACCCTTCCAGAGAACAGCACAAACACTCTGAGTGTGTCAGCCTGGCCACAGCAGGGTTCCAAGACTTCCAGTGAAAGATAAATTATTTTATTTGTTGTTCTTTACACCTCTCCAAGCTCCTGGAAGGTGTGGAAGACAGAAAAGCAGCAGCAAGGTGCCAGATTTTCCCCAAACTCTCTTTTTCTAAGTGACTAGATGCATTTTTTCATGCTGCAGTTTCAGGCTGTGGCAAGCTCATTAAAAATGCAACATATCTGTGATTATTTAAAATAATAATTATTATAACAATGCAGAATAATTGGCTATTCCTGAAGTACTAAAAGCACAGAGAAATTTATTAAAAACATGCACTATGGAGTGTCGGAGTTAAGGATCCCAGAAGTGACAAACTCCTCCTGTTCTGTGCTGGCAACTTCCCACTGGGAGAAGAAGAATTCTGAAACCAGATTTATTTCAATTTGCAAGTTCAGGCACAGAATTTGTAATTTCTCTAGAACTACTCAATTACTCTCACATTTCTTGTTTTCCCACAGTGGTTTGTTTTTTTTTTTTTTTTGTGATGTTATTCACAGAAGTTAGCAGCAGTTTGATTTGAATATTTTCAGTTTGGCATCAGCAGAAACACCTAGGTAAAAATTCAGCTTAAAACTTTTACCCTAAAAAGCACAAAAATCAGCAGAAAAACACTGCAAAAAAAAAGGGGTTGAAAGGGGGGAAAGGAAGCAAAAAAAACCCTGAAGCAGTCTTCTAAAAAGCAAATATTTTCCATTGAGTAATGGCAATTATGTGAGCAAGATAAAATCAAAGCTCTAAAGGTGTTGGTATTAATGTAGGATATGTTCTCTTACAACATTTTCTTTAGTACTGACAGCAAATGTTCTGTCACACACCCAACCAGCATTTGATAGTCCTTCATTAATATTTTTCCCCAAAATCTACAGTACAAATGAAATATTTTAATTACACCCTATTGATATAATCAAAAAGAAGAGATTTATAATTTATTTTAAATGAGAAATACTTGGTTAAATAGTTTAGTTAAACTCTTAAGTTTTGCTGTTTAAAAAAAAGAGTAAAAGCCAAATAAACCTGTTATTTAGCCCTTCAATTTTAAATAATTTGGAAAACATTTGGGGGAAAAAATTTAATTCTTGTGATAACAATCCATAGCCTTCTAACTATAAATTTTAGGATTTGGGGGTTGAAGTTCTGCTGTCATTCTGTGGAAAATATTGCAACATTTCCCAAGTGGAAATACTGAATTTTGGACAGTCAGATCAGTGGATTTCACTTTAAAAAGGCAAAGAGAAAGGCCCTGCCCTCAGTCAGAAAGGCTGAAGAAACTGAAAATTTCAGTGCAGTTTTTGAGACAAAGCCTGGTGGGATGAAATATAAAAATTATGGTGGTGGTGAATTATAAATATCATTGCTCTACGTCCCCTTATTTCCTTTTGTAGGGTAGAAAGCCTGAAATTCCAGCATTTAGGAAAAAAGGGATGCTCCCCTCATTGAAACAACTTGTGGGAGAAGAAAACAAATCCCATTTTGGGGGTGGGGGGGAATATAAAATAAATGAAGTTATCAATAGTCCCTTCCAAAGGTATCTCTGGACCAGCATTCCCACCCTGCTTCATCTTTCACTTTACATTTCTCCTTTCTGGAAATTTTGGCAAAATGAGATTTCAGAATTGTATTTTTTTAAAAAAGGATGTATTTAGTGCAGGTTGTTTTCTTGGAGGTGCTTCTCTCTCCATCCTGAAGCAGAAAATACAGGAATAAAGTGTTGGAGGAAATAATTAATTGGCATGGAGACTTGCAAACAGAGATATCCTCTTTTTGTGGGTGTAGCTGTAAAAAAGGACTGCTCAGAAAGCCTGGAGGAAGTGAAGCAAGCACAGCCACCCAGCTACAAGTTCTTTAAATATTTTGGTTTTTTAGAGGGGAACTGGAAGCTCCTTTGACAGAACCAGGCCTAAAATAAACTATTAAATATTTCAGACCTTGGGAAGCTCCCACTGATCACTGATTTCTAGGCCAGAATAGATTTGGGACTTGCTAGTAATTACAGGTAATGGCAGAAAGAGTTATTTAATGGAATTAATATTTAAATACTTGTAGCTTAATTTACATTTTAATTGGCTGGTACGTAGCAAAATTCTCATAATTTAAAAACTAGGGAAAAAAATTAATGTTGTTCCCTTCAGCCTGACTTTAAAACAGCAAACAGATGCAAGCAAGCCTCAGAATCTGAAGGTCAAACATGAATATGAATGATATTATATTGACAAATTGTGATTAATTTTACAGTATGGGCTGTAAACTGTAATTGGTTATAAACACTGGTTAAAACTATTTCTGGAGCTGGTAAACAAATGTAAACAACAAACACAATTCAGGGGATTTTTCTTGCACTTATTTTATGCACAATTCATTTTCCCACTCCCATTTCTCAGTAAAACCAGGTCTCTACGAGAGCAGCAGACAAGAGGAGATGAAACAATTAAACAATTCCAATTTCAATTCCTACTGCTGGAGTTGGGAGCTAAAAGCAGCCCCAGTTGCTGAGTCTCTGCCACGCTGAAGCAGCACAATAATATTGGGGTTGAAGGTTTCTTTGACACTCCAATATTTACGTGCTGCTAGGGCGGAACGAGCACGAGTCCTGCAGGCAGCAGCACCAAATTCCCTCCTGGAAAAGGGACAGGGGATCCCCCAGTGCTTCTGAGCCTTCAATTCCTACAGCAGCAAATCATGATTTGCACCCTGAGCAGAGCATGCAAACCATGATGTGCTGCTACAGCACTTCGAGGCCTCCCAGGCAACATTTCAAACCTGCATTTTTTCAGTTTTAACTGGAAATACAACTTTCAAATGGCCTTTATTCACACACCAACCTGTAAAATTAAGAACCTGTTATGATCCAGATCAATCCCATGGCTTCGGAGAAGCAGCCCCACATCTCTGAATGTCTTTTTCTTGCCATTGATGTAGTAGGTGGAGGAATTGTCTCTATAGGCAGTTCTAGAGACACAGAATTTGCTGTCAGGAATGACTTCGTAGTCATCTCCTTCCTGCTTTGAGGAAACACAAAGCCAGAGAAACAATTACTGTAGATGGGAATTTACCTCCTATTTCACAATGAACCAGATAAGTTTCATCATGAGATGTTTTTATCATGGACTCTGAGTTGTAGAAGTGGGAGCTGTCTTAAAACTGCATCTCTTAGAAAAACAGATTAAAACAACAAGAAAAAAAAATCCTTTGAGAAGTGGACACAAAAAATCCCCTGAATTGTCTTCCTCTGATGCCTCTCCCCCCAAAGTGAGCTGGGGAAGTGCTGCAGGAATTGCCTGTGCATGGCCAGGCTGCAGGGCTGTGCTGTCCCAGCCTGCAGTGGCTCTGGGCACTGCAGAGCTCTCAGCTCCACAGAGAAAGTGCACGAGATAAAAAAACCAAACATGAAAGATGTGACAAATGTGACAGCAGCAGCTTCAAAAGAGAGCTTCCATCTACCTCCAGAGCAGCAGCCAAAATAAAGCTGCTGCCAGGCTTGAAGAAGTCAAAACTCACCCAGATTAACCCTCAAGAGCTCTCAAATTGCTCTCTGGTTTGAAATCAAACTCAGCTTCTGCATGTTCACACAAAGGCAAAAAAAAAATTTTAGAAATTAAATAGATGATTTTTTAAATCTGATTATTAAAAATACAAAAAGAAATAAAAATAAGTGTGTTTTAAAACAGTTCCTAAAAAAGGCTGTAAATGCTGCCTCTTTACTAGCACCATTTTTGGAATTTCAGTGTACACTTCTCACTTTTTTAGTTGAGCCTAAATTTAAAAGTTCTGTTGTGTGCACAAAAAAGAAATTTAAATTAGGAGAAATATTTTCTTTGTACCACAATTGTAATAAATTAACAAAAAAGTGCTAAAGTTTTTATCAATACACAAAGCAGCAAGCAAAAGAAATATTTTTTTTAATTTGCCAACACTTTCTTTTCATTCAAACAAAATATCAGCTTCAAAAAATTTTAGTGGTAAAATGTGGGGTCCAGAATTTTTGCTGAAAAATGTGTTATAAAATTACAGGCTTGTTTACAGTACATAAAGTGTAATTAAGTTTCAGATCTGTTCTATATTCTTCTAAATTTAGATAACCTAAAACACTTTCTAATTGGTTTGAAAAGTTTTGCTTAAATAGGTTTTATTTCTTAATACATGCATTTGTGTAATATATTTAAGAATATACAATATGTCTAAATATAGATTTATAAATTTTCATTAAATTATTTTAATTGCAGAAATAAATTTATTTACTTGAGGTAAAACAAGATTACAAATTAAAACTAGTTCTTTTTAAAATGATGATTAAAAATTTCTAAATTGCTTTCAAACAGAAATTTATCACATATTAGTCCTGCAGCAAATGAAAGAATCCTTACTAGGATTTTAAGAGCTGCACTACTCAACAGAGGATTTTTAAAGTTAATTAACACTGATGGTTTATATCCCAAAGGTAAACTAATCTTGCTCTGAAGTTTTCCCCAGCTCCAACGAAAATAAGCAAATATTAAAAGTTTTTTAGCTCCTTCAGGGAAAAAGCCTGGGATCATACATACCTTGTCAGTGATCTTTTGGAAGTGAACTTCCACAGAACAGCTCTGGATGTTCTCGTGCTCATCAGAAGTATGGATCAGCACCGAGAGCTTTTTGGAGCGGATTTTTTGGGCTCGATAGCCAAACACAAAAAGCAGGGAATCAATGATATTGGATTTGCCACTGCCATTTGGCCCGATAATACATGAAAAACGCTGCACAGAGAAGGGAAAAAAAGTGATCTTCAGAGGGAAATAAATCCTGCCCAGTGTCCATCACCCATTTCAAGCACAATTATTCCTCGTGCGTGCAAGTGTCTGAGAGCTGAGCTTTTGCTGCCAAGGTAAAAGTGAATAAAAGCCCCACAGCTCAGCTCAGCTTTCCCAGCTGCACTGCTCAACCCAAAGTCCTGCACTTCACAGCCTTCACAAGCTAAGTTTCATGCTCAGCCACGTAAGTCTCTTGTGGGCACAAAAAAATATTCTCTGTCTTCAAACACAGCCCTAAAAGTTCTCCAGCAAACGAAATCAAGAGAAAAGAGAGCTTTTCTAAGCTGTGCTGACAAATTAAAAATTGCACAGCACTGGAAAGTTGCACTTAGCTGTTTTCTCTACTTAATTTAGAATATTACTATCAAAATATTTCTAAACCTTAAATATTTTTTCAGTTATTTTGAGGTCAGCTTAAATGAAGAAAATGCAGGAAGGACTAATACCACCAAGTGAAGTCTTACCTTCAGCTCAAAACTACATAAGGAAAAAGAAAGATACCTTGTGAAAAGGTCCCAGAATTTTCTCCCCTGCATAGGATTTGAAGTTCTGGTTTACAATGTGAGTGATCATGAGGCGAGGAGCACCAGGTTCACTGGTCATTGCTGGAGGTGGGGGAGGAGAGATGCTACCCAAAATCTCTTCTAAACTTCGATTATCCACCACCTCATCTGAGGCTGCTAAAACCCATCCAAATAAACAGAAAGATAAAAAGAAAACAACAAAAAAAACAACTGTAAGCTCTCAGTGATTTGACACCTTTTAAAATGTTGAACTGAAAAAGCAAATATCATTTCTGTCTGAACCAAGCTACATTTTGGCCTGTAGTTATTAATATGAGCTGAGTGGAATTAAAATTCTTCTTTCCACAAACAAAATGTTTTTTAAGAGCTACTTAAGATGTCCCATCGCTGGGTTTGTTCTTTCATTATGTAATTCTTATTCCAACACACTTTAACAGGCCCCCTGCAATTCCAACAGCTCCAACCATCACAATAAATCTGCAAATCTGAAGCAGGCAAAGCCTTTCTAATGAGTAAGTGCAAAGCCACATTTCAGAGCCACTGTGCAAGATTTGGGGATCTCTCAGGAGGCTCTGAAAGCTGCAATGACAGCACGGCTGCTCTGCAAAGACAGGAAGTTTGTTACGAAAACAAACTGGCCCCCTGGATATCAGCAGAGCAGCTTTTCCCCAGGCACCAGCAACTCCTCCTTCCAGCAAGCAGCAGTTTTTGTCACCAATTTCAATGTATTTGTCAAATACCTGCTTTTAACAACTGCACATCTGGCTCCCTAAAAAGTTACACAGCTGCTGGTTTTGCAGATTTTTTTCTGCGAAAGCTCAGCTCAGTGAACTCAAGAAAATACACTGCTTCATGAAAAAGAAAGTCAAATCATTTTAAGAGTTAAGTAAATAAACTTGACATTTATACCATTCCAAGAAATCCCATACCATTGGCTGCCTATAAATTTGAAAAATCCTGCTGCTGTACCACAATCTTAAGTACAATGTTCCAGATCAGAGCTCCGAAATAGGCTTTATTAGGAGAAAGTCTACAAATTGCTTTTGCACTTGTACCGGGCCAAACCCCTTAACTCTTTGCAACCTCTTTTGACCATTTTAAAAGCAGATTTAAGTTACATGGGGTTTCAGCATTGCTTTGTAGAAGGGAAAAGAGCAAATCCCATCTGGAAGAGTTGGGAAATTCAAGTTGCTGCTAAGGAGGCTCAGTCAGCACCACCACAGCCAGCCCATACCTACCTCGGGGAGGTTCTTTGTCAGGCTCCTTGGTGCCTTCATCTTCCACTTCCAAGTCCACGGAGGACTCCTCCAAGGGCTCCCTGCCCTTCCTACGGGCTGCAGTGGAGGTTTTGGTGCTCTTGCCTGGCACGGTCCCTGTTGGCTGCTCCCCTTCCATTCCAAGCAATCAAACAACTGAAGGGCTCTATCTCCTTTGCTAACACAAACAAGAGAACCCCGTGATCTCAGCACTGAGCTACAGCCCCGCAAGGAATTCACCTACACCTCTGCCTAGATGCTTGGCTCATTTAGAAACTCAAGACTGGCAGCATTTAGAGGATAAAAATCCAAATTTGAAAAAAAAAACCATTGAGGTTAGCTTTATAATGATATATTTTTAAAATACATCACCCCCCAAAACGAGGGGTTGAGCCTAATCTGCTTTAACAGCGTGGATCTACCTGCTGCCAGCTCGTGGGGACACGTTCAGGGCAGTGACTTTGCTCCCTGAAAGCCACCGTGGTGCTGGGGGCAAAAGAGTTAAAAGACACATTGAACAACAAGCCCAGGAGCCACATGCCTCTAACTCTCCTGCAAGAACTCGTTATATTTCAGACCTGACACTCGTTTTACTTTCAGTAATCCGTGCTAAATATTTGTATGGCTATTAAGGGATTGATAAACAGATAGAGAAACAAAAGCCCTGCGTGATTATAGCAAAGATTTCACTCTTAAATAATTTAAATCGACATACTCTGCTCACAAAACACAACACAACCCCTCCTGCCAGCATTCAGCATTTCAGAGAGAAAGCAAAGACGAAATACCTTCATCTAGTCGGGATGTTAAAGTGATATGAGTAAGGACGAGCATTACAAAAGCCATCAGCTGGCACTCGAGCACAGCTCCGCAAACGGGTGAAGAGAAAGCACCCGATGAGAAGAAAAGGAGCGAAACTCTCCCCAAAGAGTTGAAATCGCAGCAAGTGGCGAAGTGAGTTCGCAGAAAAACAGACATGAGAAAGTTTACTTCTCACAAGATAAAAAACTGACGTGGTTAGAAAGTCATCTTACAATTGGTGCCAATCATTTGACGTTTTCAGACCTACCCCCAACCCACACTCTCATGAGAGTCCTTCTTTTGGGACAATGGGGGAGGGGGGGAAATGAGAGACAGAACTCATTTTCAGGCAATTTCAGTCTATGCC